TCAGCTTAAGTAATTCGGAATTTTTGACGGAATTGTTGTCGGAACTAGGACTTAAAGAAAATAAGTCAAATTGAAATATTTCGATAATCCAATAAATTCAAGGTTCGAAATTTCAATATTTTATTTTCGGAGGGAGGGGAAACTGTTTTCAGTTTTGGTCCATTATACCTAAGTATATTTGCTTCGATTTTTTATTTTTTCCATAAAAGCGAAAATTTTACGCATGATATACATATAACGCATAGCTTCAAATTAAAATTTAATAATATACAGAGTGGTTATAATTAAAGTTCCACATTGAAAACGGTCATAAAAGGAAAACTACTGGATCAAATGTTATCAAACTTGGAAATCGTGTAAAGGAGGTCATGGGAATTTATTTTCCGCGAAAAAAAGGAAGTTCGAAACCTCACCACCAGGGGGGAAATGGCGCTGTATGCAATATTGTTAAACGACGAATATGGGTCGGAATCTAACTTAACCTTTTGTTAAACGGGTTTAATATGTTGTATACCCTTAAGAAACTTTGAAAGTAGGCAAATTACCATTTAAAGACGTTAAATTCGATAAATGTCGAGTGCGCCATCCCTGTAAGTGAGAATTTCGTCCGTGAAAACCACGAATTAGCGATTAGAAAATGTGAGATCGCAAATCACTCTCACAAGTGCGTACAATCTGGAAATCGTTTTCTTACAGATCGCTAATTTGTAATTTTTTAAGCCTGAATTTGGCACTAAAACATGAAGATACTGATTCAAAACGCTTTTAATCGATTTGGGCCAAAGAAATCTCTCATGTTATCTATCTAGTTCCATTGCATTCTCCTACTGCATTCGATTGCATAACAGTCATTTAACACCGTTTACTGTTGAATGACAGCTAGTTTTATAACAGAACCATTTTTTCTAAAGAGCAGTCGACAGCTGGACCACTGCAATTGCAGCTCACTTAGAGTCAATATTAAAATGTTTCGTGATACATGAACTGCAGTAACGTGGCATTTTAGATACTACGATTTTTATGCAGGGCTGGGCACCACCTCAAGATTGTCGCATAGTTACTTAGGCAACATTTCACGAATGAACGTCTTATAAGCCAACACTTCCCCTCTTCCCACCAGACCTCAACCTCTGTGACTTTTGTCTATGAGGTTATCTGAAAAGCACTGTTTATTGTGATAATCTAAACAATTTGGCAGAAATGAAAAATGTGATACACTGATAACATTCCTCCTGATATGCTATGTGTAACGTGTATACGAGCCAGTTTCCCTTAAAAAGTCCTCCACGAAAGCATCCCTTCCTTAAGGCAGACAGCCCTCGAGTGCTTTGCCGTAATCTAATAAACCAAACCAAAACCAAAACTGATATGCTAAGAGCTGCTGTTGAGAATGCAGTAACATGATTTAACTTGCTTTCGGAAAATGCTGGACGCTACATTGAACATGCTTTGTAACACGTTTCGGAAAATATTAAACACATTTAAAAAGATGTTTTCGTTTCTTATTTCATTTAACAATATTGTATACAGCGCCATTTTTACCCTGATGGTGAGTTTTTGAACTCTTTTTTTTTTTTCCTCCGAAAATAAATTCCCATAACCTCCTTTACACGATTGCCAAGTTTGATAACATTTGGTCCGGTAGTTTTCCTTTTATGATCATTTCAAATTGAAACTTTAATTATAACCACCATGTAAATTAAACTTTAAAAAGTTTCACAGTTTGGTTCAAGTCCCAGCTTTAAAAATATATATATAAATATAATCTCTTATATTAATTCTCTTAGAAAGAATGTTTTAAGAAGCTAATTTTTCTCTCGCGTTATAGACTGTATAAAAAAAAAAACATGATCTTTAGTATGATTTAGATTGTTTCAGCCGATATAAGAATCGGGTCACTCGGTGGTACAAAATAAACCCTGCTGGACTGTTTTATTTCTTTGTCATTTAGCAAAAATCTTTTAATTAAAATATTTATCCTTTGGACTTCGCTTTAAACTTTATTTATAGCTAAAATGACTAGAAAATGAAAAGCTGTCTTTAGCTGAAACGCAATTCATATGCAATTGAATATTTTAAAAACTTTGACAAGAATGCAAAATGTATGAAAGTCTAGCAGTCGAAAAATCTTAATTTTTCTTGTGTGAGCACTGAAAATAAAAATGTAGAAGGAAAGAAGAAATTAGGGAGAAAAGTAAAGCAAAAATTTGCAAGGGAAATTTTGGCTATCAGACAATACCAAGATGTTTCAAAAAGTTGGACGCTTTCGAATATACTTTCAGAATACTTCAAAGAATTTAGGTGTTTTCAAAGAGAAAACACTTGGAGGTGTACACCAGCAAATACCATCAATTGAGCTTGTGTTAACAGAAAAGACAAAACGATATCATTGCAGATTAAAGTGAAGAGCGACTGGTTTTAACTATATGGTTGTGTAAATTACGTTATAGAACATCATATCGTATCATAAATGGTGAATCCCATGATTTTCTCAGTCGAATTATTTGAAGATTCAGGAGTTTATCCAGTGATGTATGTGGATGTCACCTAAAGATGTTTTTTTCCCTTCCTAATGAAACAGCGACCGAGCGGTAAAGTCGCTGAACACAGGTAGTTCGGTCCGAGGTTCGAATCCCGCGAACGGGCTGGCTGCATGGACGTTTTCGTGGTTTTCCCCATGTGTAACGTGTATGCGAGCCAGTTTCCCTTAGAAAGTCCTCCAGGAAGGCATCCCATCCCTTAGGCAGATAGCCGTAGTGTGCTTTGTCATAATAAAATAAACCAAAACCTTTGGATGAAACCAGTCTTTCCTTTCATCTCATACCTTCAAAATGTTTAGCCTCTAAAGACTGATAAAGGCTCTGACGAAATACTTCGTGAAGAACTTTCTAAGGGAAACTAGCTGTCATACGCGGTACACATGAGAAAATCCACGAAAACGCCCATGCAACCAGCCCGTTTACCGGTGTTCGAACCCCGGAGTGAACTACCAGTGTTCAGCAACTTTACCGCTCGGCCATTTGTGGGCCTTTATGAAATGGAAGGCGATAACTTTATTTAAAATGATTGTCAGAAATACCAAAATGTTTTTAAAAGTTGTATACTTTTCAATATACTTTCAGAATGCTTAAAGAAAAAGAGAAGAAAAATAAATTTTTTCGTAAAATTTAGTATTCGTATTTTTTTTTTAATTTAAAACTTTTCAATCTTATGATATTTGATTCTTGCGATTTCAAAAATAAAATATTTGACTAAAATATGAATAACATTTTAAGAAACCAAACGTAGGATAAAATTGTGTAAAGCAATGGGCACAATGATAAAACTGTTTAAAGCAGTGTATGCAAGTCATCGTAAGTTAAAATATCGGTTATACATCTCTCTTATTTATATATATTTTTTCTGAACGGAACATTGAAAGGCGTGTAAAACTGTGCTTTACTGTATTTTCTCTTTTAATATAGTATGCAGTTTTCAAACGCATCGTAGTCTGGGTTACAAAGTATTCTTCCGAAAGAAACGCAGTTCAAATAATAAAATCAAATTCTGGAAAATTGATATATAATAAATATATTTGAAAATGCTCAGTTCGAAGGAATAAATAGAAAATTTTAAAAACAATTATCTGAAGAGACAATGCAACACAAACAATTAAAATAAAAGTATAAAAATTTAAAAATGACCTAAAATAATAACTATGACGAAAAATATATATAAAGAAACTATTTGAAAAAATAAAAAATAAACGCTGCACCTTTATTTACGCAGTTCGAATAGGTAAATAGAAATTTTTAAAACAGTTATTCGAAAACAAAAAAAAAAAAAAAAAAAAAAAAAAAAAAAAAAAAAAAAAAACGTGCAACTTAAACAATTAAAATGAAATTCGAAAAAGAAAAAATTACTTAAAATATTAAGTTATAATTAAAAATATAATATAAAGAATATTATTTGGAAAAAAGGAACGATGGTGACTTTTTTTCCTCTCACGGGAAAGGAAACTAGGTTGCCATATATTAAGAAGTTCGCAAGTAAAGTATTCTTGGCGCAAACTGACAAAAAGTGCCAACATAAATTTGTGAATTTCTCCGTAAATTTCGCTCCAAATTTTACAAAATTTCATATTTAGGCGTAATTTGAGTCGTAGAATCGAAATATGTAAAAAAAATTGGTATGTTTTTTCAGAAAAAGTCCGATTTTTTGTCAAATACCTATGTTAGAATAGTGCTGTATATAAATCTAATATATATCCTAAGTCGCGCTTTCGAGACATGAAGAACGCAATTTTGAATTTTGTCAAATCGGCCCAGTATGATCGGGATATAATAGGACTGTCCCTTTTTTTTTTTTTTTTTTTTTTTGAGCAGTGTACATATAATGTACGACATAGTAAAATAATAAAATTATAAGTGTGTAATAATTCTCGTGCAAATCAAACTTATTTCTTTTGCAGTATCATCAAAAATTTTAAAGTGGGGTATCATCATGAAGATATTGATATGTACAAAAGATTAATTAACATTCCAGACAGGCCTTTGAAATTCAGGTTCATAGAAAGATAGAAGAGAAAGTTCCTTTACACAAGAAATCATTCAGTTTATAAATAAATACTTTTGTGGTAAGATTAAATCATCTATGTGATACCACCCATAGGTAATGTATTGAAATATGAGGTTTTCTTATTTTTTCTAGCAGCGAAAGAAGGCTTTTATAGGATTTATTTCACTATAAAAAAATTACGGGGATTTCCTGCTTAGGGATTTTCTCTGAATGAGGGAGAGTTTATTTTATATCCTAAGCAAAGAATCCCTTCGGATAAAATGCTTTTTTTATTTTCTAATTCCTTCCCCTCTTTTACATAATATTCAGGCTTAATTTAATGGTAAAATGAGTTTGTTTCAATCATAAAGCTAGTTCAGCTGTATAAATGTACCAAAGGCTCCTATGTATCAAAATTTTCCCTTAGCAACAGATAAATTGAGTCTCATACGAATGAAAGACTAGTGTTTATGTGCACCAAGCTGAAGTGTTAGTTTTACTGTCATTTTAAGTTTTAATTTCAGAATTGTGTATGAATCTTTGCGTAACTATACGTATTTCATGAATTTTATTTGCGTTAAGCGATGTTTGCATTTAAAACTAAGCGGAAAACTGGTGACTTGGAAATGAATATTTTAAATGAACTGAGTTTACCTCCTTTAAAAGACTGCTGTTATACTTCTTGTTATTGGTAAGAGACATGACTGATATTGCAGTACAGTTTTAAAAAGTTGCACTTAAAATTTAGTTTTTATGGAAAAAAAAGTGTTGTTATCTTTTATAGTGAGGAAAACGTGTGGAAGATTTGTGATTACGTAAGAAACAATCAAAAACACCTCTTACCTGCTTGTTATGCTGTATTTATATCTAACAGGAATGAAAGTGTGAGTATTTCCATGTTCTTAAATGTCTTAAATTTTTTTTTAAATGAACTATTTTCATTTAGTAAATGTACAATGAAATGTATGTATACTACCAAAATGATAATTTGGCACATTTTTAGTCTCTTTTCCTGTATTTATTTGGTATTGAGATTTTGTTAATGTATCAAGTAGAAAATAAGATATATTAAAAATAAGACTGTTAATCAATGTTCTGAACAATACCTGCTTGATGTTTGACTAGTTATACTGATTAAAAATTTAATAATATCTTTTGTGTAGGGAATTTTTTGTTAATATTTTGTGTGCAATTATTGTGTGTCTTTGAGAATTTTGAAGCTGGAAGTTCCTATGCTGAGATGAGTAATGGTTTTTAGTATCACATGAATCAACTTTTCAGTACCAGCTTTTTTTTTTTTTTTTTTGGTAACTGATTAATATTTAAAGGGATTTCAGTATTTCTTCAGACTGTAATAATTAAAGAATTGTAAATCTAAATGAATTTGTGATTCTTATGGAAAAAAAAACAAAAAATGAGTAAACTGGTAATGAATACAGTCTATTGAATTAAAACAGTTAATTATAATTATAAAAATATCCATAATGTATTTTGAATAGGGAAAATATTGGTACTTAACCATTAGTTGGCAATTGCTGATACACCACTGATAATGTACTGAAGCATTTTGGTTATACGACATAACAACTGTCGTAATTTATTCTCATTGAACTTGCTAAAATGTACTGTATGTTTTACACTGCATTTTGTGTTGTTTAAAATGAACTTTGTGAAATAACTGTTGTTTAGATTATATAAAAAGATTTTATTTTTGTTACTGCATTTGATATATATTGTTATATGAAGTTATTTTTTTAATTCATGACTTATTTCAAAAGGTTCCTTTATGGTATCAGAAATCTGGGAAAGATGATAATAATCTAGCTGTTTGGGTAAGTATCGAAAATAGTTTTTATTTCTATATTTAAAATGATCAGTTTTGAAAATGCTTGTAATGTATTTTCTACAAAATGCTTTTGACTTTTCAGTCAAAGTTTTCTGACCTTGTGATCTGTGAAATGTATCATATCACATACACACACAAGTATGCTTTTTATGTATGTTGTCTGAGTATTACAGTTAAACTGCACCAGTGAGTGATAGTTTAAAAATAGCATATAATCTACATGATGAATACACGTGTTACTGTATGCTCAACTAATTCCGTAAAGCTACTACCCACTAGCAACTGAATAGTAAAGTTGCTGAACACTGATAGTTTGTCCTGTGTTTGATTCCAAGCAAACAAGTTGGTTGCATGGGTGTTTTCGTGGTTTTCCCTATCTGTAACATAGATATGAGCCAGCTTTAGAAAATCCTCCTCAAAGGCATCCCTCCTCGATGCAGGTAGCCAGCCCTTGAGTGCTTTGCCACAATCAGATAAACTAAACCATAGGAAAAACACAATAGCACCTGCAAAAAACTGCATTCATGATGGGTATTCAACAGCAATGTGGATAAAAAATGCTACAAGTAGTTTAAAAAGTTATAGAGCGATGATTATTTGTATGAGAAATCAAAGCAGAAAATAAATTCAGCATACTTTTAGGGAGGATCAGAAATCGGCACACAAAGTTTGTCCTTCCAGATTATGGGTGTCCAAATTAACGACTTTTGACTGTACTTTTCTTTTGTTAGTCCGGTGTAACAAAGCCTTTGCAAAAAAAAACTGATTTGAATTATGCAGGCACAGATTAATATTTCAGAAATAAATTACAAAGCCTAGGATACTAATTGTCAGAGAATGCCAGCTGATTTGCTCTCACAAGCAACAATTATGCAAAAGTATATTTTGCCTTGAATTATTAATAGGTTTCATTTATATGGCACACCAACTGTGTTGTTAGGACTTTGACGATTCTGGATTTTAGAAATTTCCAGGTTTTAGGTCATCAGTTTAAAGCCCACCAGCAGCCAAACTGTGGAAGTTCTAGACACTGGTAGTTCTCACCTGGGTTCAATACCTGGCAAACAGAATGGCTGCATAGATGTTTTCTTAGTTTTCTCCATGTGTAATGTGTATACAAGCCAGTTTCCCCTAAAAAATCCTCCACAAAATCATCCCTTCCCACAAGGAAACATATCTTCATATTGTACCGGGAACATATCTTTAGGTTTCTTTAGATGTCAAATCTACTATTTGTTTTACTCTATTATGAACGAAAATGGCCTATGAATCTTCTCTTCCTATATAAGTCATTGAATCACAGTCACAGTCATTGAATAAGTCCAACAGTAAACTTTTTTAACTAGAAGATCTTTTAGTATGCTTGACAAAAGTCATGCAGCAATAGTAGCACCAAGAAGCTCCAATCATGCAATGCTAGTCCCCCCCCCCACAGGGGGAAATTCCTGCTCTAGTCTCTATAAGTTTGAATGTACCTAGAACTTTCTTTATTAAAATTATCAAAATTTTCTTTATCTTTTATTTATAAAGAAAGGCTGCTGTCACATATACAAATTGGCTTTCATTATAAACTATACATAAAGAATACTTATCATTGACTTTTCCAAATTTGATCGATCATAGGACTTCACCTTTAGACAAAAAAAAAAAAAAAAAAAAAAAAAAAAAAAAAGCAAATCTTGCATTCATTTCAAAAATTCTTTCCTTGCATCTGCATCTACTTTCTGGTCTCAGCTGATGTTTGCTTTCCATAAACATTGTAAAATACGTTTGTGAATTAAAGTTATTACACAAACAATCCCCAAAGGATCAAAGATTTGTGGGCAGCAGCTAGAATAATTCTTTTTGTTATTTTCTCAGTACGCAAATTCTCAAAACTGGATATATTCACTTCAAGGGCACCTCTCATTTGTTCCAGATTAATCCAAGAACATTTATAAGGAATCAGTTCTATAAGATTTGGGTCCTTGTCTAAACATTAATTGTGACTGGATGACTGCTTTTCCTTTGCTGAAGCATCAAATACTGGTCGGATTCGTGTTGTACCGTTTTCTTTAACAACACACCTATGGGGGCAGATAGTGACGAGGCATATCTTTTTCACTCAATGGTACTTCCTCAATGATATCTTCTCTCAAGTAAATCTGAAGTACATTTCCATAGTCTTCTTACAAGCCATGAGCTTTCAATTTCTTCAATGTATAATTCAGTCTTTTAAGAGATAGGTCATAGTTGTCTGGAAGTAGACAGTGACCTTCAATCCATGGTAGACTTACCATAAAACATTCATTCTTGATTTTTACAGTATTGTTGCGTGCGTACGGGTTCGTTATGAAATGAATGCACAAGTCCGATGAAAAATGAACAAAACTTTTTATTATCACAACAAAAATGCTTAAATTTTCTCAAATTATCATGCAGTATTACAATATCTCACAGTAGTTATCTTTTAACTACTCAAATGTCCAATAGAACGCAATTCAAAACAGCTAAAGAACGCTAATCCGCGAATTCGCTACAATAAACAAGAGCAGTTTTCTAAACAACAACAAACTAAGCAACTACTACAAACTGAGATGTTTTCCTCCTTTTATAAGCTTTTAAAATCACGCGCTAGAATTTTCCAGTACTTTCTCGAAATCAAAAAGAGATATTTATTTATTTAATGCACGCGCTCTTGTATTTTCAATTTTCCGGCTTAGCTTTCTTTTAATATTCGTCACGCACTGCACTGCGCGAGAAATAAAACCATTTAATTTATAATTGAACTAACATTAGCTTTTTAAATACCAAATTCGTAACACTGCCTCCTTCCCAAGGACTGCACGTCCCGGGCAGTACAATCCCTGGACAGGAAGCCAAACTTACAACTGAGGCATAAATGCAACTGAGGCATAAACATTACATTACAATATCAAATAACATGAACAATAAATGTAATAGATAACTTAAACAACTCAAATGCTATCAAATACAAATCAAATGCAAAATACACATTTAAAAACAAAAAGGACCATGGTCTTATACTATTTACAATTATTTACATTACGTACTATGGCCATAGTAATGAGCTAACCTAGCAGGGTTGCCACGCTACCTGGAAAACCGGGAGAACCGGGAAAAGTCAGGGAATTCGAAAATTGACCAAAATATTCAGGGAAAAGTCAGGGAATTTAAGTATTTTTGTCAAAATCTGGAAAAGTCAGGGAAGTTCATACAACGATCTCGCCAAAAAAAGCGATTTTTGCGCCGACGTCGGAAGAGATAACTTTTTTGGCGAATTATGTATCACGTGAGTGTCATTCGGGTAGCTGGCATAGAGCCAATTTTCGCAGCTCCAATTTGATTGTCTTTTAGAAAGGTGAAGAAAGTACCTGTTCTCGTATAAAACAAAATGGGTTTAATCCTAGTATACGGTATCATGGAGGTTAGAATCAAAGAATGTGTATTGTAAAGAAGGAAAACCTCTCTGCAACAGGCTCCATTCCATCATAGGAGGAAACAGCTGTGCATGTCTGATATATCTGTCGCCAAAGCTCGAAACGGGTGTCGAAGTTCGAAGGTCACGTTATCAAGAGTTAATAAAATGAATATCGTTTAAATTTCTTTAACCACTTGCGCTAAAAAGACGTGCCACGCACGTCAAGATGCTTTTGTCTCAAACCGCGAGCGACGTGAACATCACGTCGCACGCATTTTTGCGATAAGCATTTATCGCAAAAATGAAAATAACGTGGTGCACACGTCGCCTAACAACGACATTGTTTATTTCTCGAGTTACAGCTCTGGATTGCACTCGCAGATGCGGAGCGGCGTAAATGAGACACTTTACCGCTTAGCGCACGGCACTGCAATCGTGAAGTTTAGTCTTAGCGCAAGTGGTTAAACTCTAAAGGAAAAAAAATATTTTTTGGCGCAAGTAAATTAATTCATGGATTAGTTATTTTCAGGGAAAAAAAAAAAACTATGAAAATCCGTTTTTAAAATTATTGCGAAAAATCCAAGAAGAAACGTCCTTTGATAAAACGTTTCTTCTTGGATTTTTCACAATAATTTAAAAACGGATTTTCGTAGTTTTTTGTCAAAGAGCGTTTCTTCTTAACACGTGTTTCTCAATTTCCTGTACACATCGCGGAGAGGAAAATTCTGGCCGCCAGGTTCCGTCGCCAAATCCCTTGGCAAATTTTCCCTCCGCATTCTAGCGGCGTAATAGCATTTTACTTGTATGGAACCTTTTCTTCTTTACATAGACGTTCTTTGGTTAGAATAATAATGGGATTTGGCGACATCATGATGCGCAGTAAACGGGTCATTTTGGTCTTGGCGACAATTTTCAAAATCGTAAAGCCTTACCGTATACTAGAATTTTACCGCAAAATCTTTTTAAACCTTTTTTTTTTCTTTTTAATAAATACCTTGCCATTTTACAGTAAAATAAAAAAATAGTAATCAGTCATCTAGGCTAGCCATGTAACTATATTCGCTAAAATATCGTTGATTATTCTAATTCAAATAATAATTAGTAATTATCTTTTATTTTTATGTTATTCATATAATTTAATGTTGCTTCTTCCCTCTAAATTTATTTATTATTAGTAAATAATATTTCCAAATTTCAGGAAATTTTCTCTGGCATAATCCTGAAATTAATTATAGCAGTATGATGACATACCATCACGAAATTTAATGCACATATTTTTTCCTTATGTATGCTGCGAAATAAATATAAATACCTCAATTTATTAAAATAGATTTCTTTCTTTCGTTTAGCTGCAGAATGTCTGCAAAAAAAGCCTTATTTTATTCCAGATTGGGAAGATTCTAATCTCAATCTTCAGTGGAGAAAAAAACAACTATTATAATTATATTTGTGTTTTCAAGTGTTAATGTGCCTTTTAAGAACATACCTCACGCAAATTAAATTTACCTAAAATCTAGCCTAACTATTTAGCATTGCGTTGTGATTTATAAGGACCGGATTAGCCT